CCATAGCCATTAAGAAGTACTAGATAAAATGGTATGTACTAGAATCTGTGACAGGGCACAAGACTCCAGGAGAAGGGATAAGGTAGCAGAAGCCACTGGGTAACTCGGCTGGCCTGCCTTCCTCAGTGGCATCCCCTTGTTTCTGAAATTTAACACTCCGACAGGTGAATTCTTACCAGGTTAGAAAGGGAACCTTAGCTGTCCAAAACATCCCCTTCCAGTCAGGGCTTCTCCATAGGTGACCACTGTCCCACACATCCCCTTCCAGTCAGGGCTTCTCCACAAGTGACCACTGCCCCACCCTGTACCACAATATCCCCTTCTGGTCAGGGCTTCCCTACTTTATAACCCACAGATTTGCTTTGTTGCTTCTAAATTTGATACAAATATATCACACAATCAGCAGTTCTCTTCCATGCCTGGCCTCTTTTGCTTCACAGTGTTTACAAGAGTCTTTACCACTCTTGCCTGCAGCTGTAGACTGCTCATTCTTGCTCCTGTCTGGACTGATCAATTCTAAGGTGGGTAGTCTGAGGTTACTGCTAGGTACATCCCACAGCCTCCTCTGGAGAATCTGCTGAGACACAGGGCATGCCCGTATTTGACTCTAATGGGCACTGGACAGAAGTTTTTCAAAAGTGAATGTGCCAATGCACTGTCATGGCAGTGTCTAAGAGGTCACCTATCAGCTCCCGCCACCCATGGTGTTGCCTCTCCCGTTTGGCTCTTTCTGTCTGAGGGTGCAGAGGTTTCACCTAGTGGTTGAAGTCTGTGGTTCCTTGGTATATAACATGTTGTACATGCTTGCTGAACACTGGGCTTCCTCTTGTGAAGTTGAACACCTGGTAGATCTGCTATGAATACACTGATAGACACCCCAAGGGACAAGGAGACCTCTGCCTGGGCCAGGCAGGCTTTGTGAGTGTGCCAGTGAAAAGGGTGGGCAGGGCTCTCAGGATCTCTTTACGATCCTTTACCAGAGAGAAAACAGAAAGGGCTGACCATTCACAGGAGCAGACAAGCAGGACAGGGACATGGGGAGAGGAAGGATGGGGACAGAAGTGAGACTCCTATGCTAGGGGAAGAGCTGAAGTCCAGGAGGAAGTGTACACATTTCTGAGTTGTGCTTTCTCCTCAGTTTGGTTTGAAGAAAATGATTTCTGGAAAAATGATTTCTGTGCAGCTGCTGAATTTAGAAAAAAGTAAGACAAGGTCTTTTATAGAAATGGGAAGTCCTCTTGGCCTGGGAGCCAGAACATGAGCATCATCTGGCATCCTAACCTCATCACCTCTCCTCCACATCAGGAGATTCCATGAAACAGAATCATAGCTGTCTCAACTAGCTCTATGCCTAACACTTGGCCAACCTGAATCAATGTGGAATTAATGAATGGCTGTATTTAAAAATAAAGGAGGGTAGAAATAACATTAAAGAGAACTTGTTACTTTTATCAGTATGTATTGTGATGGTTGCTTCACACAAAATATCACTCATCCTAAAACAATGGACAGATTACTAACCCATATGAAAGATAAGGAAACTGAGACTAGAGGATATCAACATCATGCCCAACATAAGGCCATTCCACTACTGAGGCAGGACTGGGCTATGTCTGCAGGACCTCAAAGCATACTCGCCCCCACTCTCCTACTCAGTTCTATGGCCAGTGAGGCCTTGGCCAGCAAGAGCAGTCAGCTCCATGGGCTAGCAGAGCCTGATCAGCACCTCTCTATACAGATTCTACTAAAGAAAATAAAATGCACAGGTTCAAGAGGCACAAGTTACCCAGCCCCGTGAGAGCAATTCCAGGTCTGGTGTAGTGGATCTAACTAGGCTCAGTCCTTTTGTCTCCTATGAGAAATCACAAAGCAGCAGTATAGTGGCACGTCCAGTGGGAGAGTGGGAAAGATGGCAAGAGGTTCAGTGACCAGGACACAGTACAGATGGCTGAGGACTTCACCTTCTTGGTGCATGTGTTCAACTCATGATAAAAAGGCTTTGTTCGCACTCTGCTGCTCATAAGAAACACCTGGCATGAGCAACACTTGACTCCAGCCTCCTACACACTGCCTGGACTATGGGGCTCTCAGTGGGCATCAGGAAAAGTCCCATGAAGCCCAGGAAGGAGGCTTCTCCATCCCAGAGCACAGGCAACAGAGTCAGAGTACCTTCAGCAATGACACTCGCCTCAGCAACCCAAGTTTGAGCTCGCAGGTAGGTAGGTATACATGCTCATGCACTGATCCCAAAGTGAAGCACTGAGACACCAAACAGCACCCCCGAAGTTCCTGGCACAAAGGAGCCAACATTGGCTGTGTGCCTGGCCCAGGGCAGCATTTCCACAGGTACTGTCTCCCTTAGGCCTGCTAGTCTCTCCTCAGACAGAACTGATGACTCTTCTACCTTACAGATGAGCAAACATAGGAGGCATGGTGACTGCAGAGGACAAAGGAGGCCCTGGCCTATCAGACTATGGCACCCACACTCTGCCAGCTCAGCTGCATGACTGTCCCCTGTGAATAGTGTGCCTGCAGTTCTACCTCTCACACAAGGGTCTGAGACCCTAGTATCAACCCCATGTCCTTAGCAGCTCACTGCTCTTCCATGGCAAAATATAACACTCTACATTGAGACCTTGTGGTATGGGTATAGGAACAATTCCTCAGAAAGATTATAAAGTGCAACAGTCCTTGATTTCCACACTGGCACAGTCACGGGAGAATAAACACAGTGGCACAAAATGGTCACGAAGTCTCCTCCTGGACCATGAGCTAGGTGGTCCAGGCTCTCCCTCTCTGCCCATTATAGTGGTCAGAGGAGGCCCAGCTGGAACCCCAGGACTATGCCCTACATGGCAAGATTCAAGCTTGCCTTGGGCACACTATAACTGTGCCAGAGCCCCAGGTCTCTACAATGCCACACACTCCTGCCTTTGCCCCGAATCGAATACCGTACTAGTCACAGGCCCAGAATGATGCAGCAACCAACCCTACCTACCCCTGGACAGGGCACCCCTCTGTCTACCCCACTTCTCTCTAGATGAAGCGTCACTGTCCAAGTCTACCCCATTTTCTCCTAGATAGTTTTCCATGCTCCATATCTACACTTAAAGAAAATGGAAAAAGGAGGAAAAGGAAAGGGGGGGCGTGGGGGGTTCTGTGTGGAACCTGGAAGGTCCTAGAGCTGCAAATGTCAAGATCTGAGAGTGTTCAACAATGTGACCCAAATTGAAGAAAAGCAGCAGCTGATAAAAAGACTGTCAGATGCTGCATTTTCCATCTTCCCAGTCATTACCAAAATAAAATTATCCAAGGAAAAGATCACAAAACCCTTTGCAGAACTAACACAATTAGGTTTTATTCTGCCTCTTCCTCCCTCTTTCTTGGCTCCCTGTAATCCCTGCCACCTTTCCAATTTCCACATGCAGAGACGCAAGGTGCCTTCATTTCTATTGTTACCAGCAAAGGCCTGTTTAAGTCAGAAGGAGAGCATACTTTTGTACCACTTCCTACAAGCACAGAAAACTATTCACAAGTGTCAAAACTTCTTTCAAAGGCCCCATCTCTGTGCCTAAGGAATTGGACTCCTCTTTACCAGGAGTGGGGAGGAGAAGAGAAAAGGAAGGGCTTGATGGGAGAACTGCCTCTCCCTCAGCAAAACAGAAGACAGGCCTTAAGGAGAAAACTGAAGCTGAGGTGGGAGAGGAGAATGATGAGGAAAAACAGATTTTAGAGGAGGACAAATGCCACAAGCCTTTTTCTTCCACCCTCAGACACATATACACACATTCTAAGCAGCCAAACCTACAACCGAGACAGAGACAGCAGGAGAGCAGAGTACTGCACACATAACCAAAAAGAAAGCCTAAGTGCCTAGGAGCATATGGGTGACTGTGATAATTAGAGCGATGGCTGGTGGATTTTTCTTTTTTCTTTTTTAACATTTTCTAGGATCTCAAATCACAATCCTTAGCATGACAGGTTGGAGTCAGACCCGTGGATGGGCTGCTCTGTGGAACACTTGCTTGTTAAAGGCCTTTCAGCACAGTTCAGACACAGGCTCCTAAAATAGGGTATCGCTGTGAGTGCCTTGGGCTCCAGTACTCAAACCTGGCCTTCCTGTATGTGCCTGACAGAGGTAGGCAAGCAGGTGGCCATGAAGCAGGGAGCTACCACCCTCTTGTCCCGCATTTCTGCCAGGCTCTACTGTGGCATGTACAGAAGCCCCTGTGGAATCAAGACCTTCAAGCAAACTGTCACTTTCAAAGCTCCAAAGCATGACAAATGACTTGCAAAGACTTGCCTGCAACAGCTGGGGGCTTGGGTTGCTTGGCATGCTGTCTCAGGCATGAGGGAGAATACCTTTTCAAAATAAACTTCCCAACCATCTCCTCTCACATTATAATACGTTTCTTTGGAAAATCTATCATGATCAACAAATTAAACCCCCGAAAGTCATCAAGTTACCAAATGAAATTTCAAGCACCCCTTGCCAGCATTTAGGCAGGCACGACCCCGTGCAAGTCTCCTTCCCTCTTAGGCTCATCTCAGAACAGCAGCAAGCATGCATCGGCAGTGCACTTTGATCTTCTTAACTCCTGGGAGAAAATCAATGATACAACTTTAATGTATTTGTACAGCAAGGCTTCATGTTATTATTATTTTTACCCAATGCAGCTTAACTCAAGTGAAGAAGGTGTACTGGGTCTCAGCACCGCCCTGTGGTGAAAAGTGAATTATTTTTCTAAAACTGAACTGTAGCAGAGCCAGTCAAATTCAACAGAAAACAGGCCAATTAAAACCCAATTATCTCTGTGAATGCAACTTGTTGAAAGGCTGGGATTGTGGTGCTCCTGCTGGAGGTGGAGAGTGGGTGTGTCCGCAGGGTGGCTGGCATGGGGTGAGCAGGCACAGGGCTCTCTCCCCTTATCATGGTGGTGGACTCTGGTCTGGTGCCTCTTGGGACCCAGCCACTGAGGGGAGCAGGGCCTGGCCCTTACCTTCTTCTCGATGCGTCCCAGCTGCTCCTTGTAGAAGGTGTTGCTGTGGCTGAGCTCCGCCTCTCTGTTCTTCAGTTCCCTGGCCTGGTTGGAGGAGAACAAAGCCTGTGTTAGCTGGCAGCAGTGGTACCTGAAAGGGTGCATCAGGGAGAAAGCAACTGACACTTCTGCTCACAACAACATTCTCAATGAGAAGAGCAGCAATATGAACTGAAAGCCTATGATATGGCAGATTGCTCACATGTATTATGCTTAATTTTCACAACAGCCCTTCAAGGTGGGTAATTAGTATAACCATTCTGTAGATGATAATCACTAATGTTTATTGAACGCTTACTATCTGCCAAATCCAGTTCTACGTGCTTCCCAGGTATTGCTAGGCTCCTAATTAGGCATTCCTAAGAGGAAGGTAGGATATAATGTGCTAATCAGGGGTAATAGTCACAATGGACCCCCATGACAGATAAGGAGATACAACAAAGGGGCCAAGTAACAGCTCAAGCTCACACCATGCAAAGATGACTAGGGTCAGAGACTTGATGAAACCAGGATAGGCCTGCCTCCAGCCACATAGCTCTGATGGGCCAGACCTTGGCACTGGTTTTGGAGTCCTGACGCTTGGTAGCACACTGTGCCACTGCCCCACATGCTAAGCTGTCAAGGGCAGAGGTTCCTGCATGTAGCAAGAGAGGCAGAGTCTTACAAAGGAAGGGATGCATTTGCTTACCCACCCGAGGGGCTGAGAGGGGTCTTTGGAAGCAGCCTGGCAGAACCTCCCTCCAGTCAGAGAGGATTGTGGGCTCAAGTAGCCAGGGCAAATAGCTTGAAGCCAGCAGATCTGTGGTGTAGACCAGTACCCCCAACTCAAGTAGCTAGGTGACTTTGAACAACTTGTTCAATTATATAGAGCATCTGTTAAGTACAATGGCTAAAACTGGAGCAGAAGTATCCTCTACCTCCCAACCTGTAAGACTGTCAAAGGCTAAAGGAAATCCCAACAGAAATAAGCAAAGTCAGAACAGGTCTCTACAAAGTTCACCCTCATCATGGCAGCTAGGAACATGTGTCCCTCTGCTGGAATATCCACATCCTCAGAGGGACCTGGTACCAAGCCCACTGCCTGTCCTCCTGCACAGATGCAGCAAGGGGCTGAGCACTTGGGACTGTCTCAATCCTGGAAGAGAAATACCATCCCTGCTAGTCACATGCCCCACACAAGGGCTGAGCATGCACAAGTGCTGCATCAGCCTCCTGGTGGTATGTGATCCTCACCATCTCTAAGAATGCCAGCTTTCCAATGACCAAGGCTCACTGAAACCGAGTCCACACAACTTTCAAGTCCTTTTTTCTAGTGCTTTTCCTTTTGAGCTACACTATGGTATTTGTATGTGGGTTTGAATTCTTCAAAACTACAAGGGAAGGTGAGAACTAAAGATTTTGAAAGCTCATCTCCTTGGCAGTGATATTCCTGTGGACATGGAACCTTTCAGAACATCAGCAAGAGGGTCAGCAACAGGAGTTGCTGACACACCAGAGACAGCATACACATGGTGAAGAGTCAGAAGAAAAGGCCATGGCCTGGGGCCTAGGGCAAAGTCAGGCCAAGGGATGGGCAGCAGGCTGTATGCCTGAGAGTGGAAATCCCATACTGGCTCTGTGGAGTGGCCGCTTTTGCCTTGGGTAAGCTGTCCTCATTCTTTTGTGTATTTTCTCCTTACCTGTCAAGTGGAGCAAAGGAGCAACTTGGCTCCCCAGGCACTGCAGAATCTAAAAATGCCAAGGCGACTCCTAGAATGCCTTTGCAATGCCAACTCTCCAGCTTAGCTAAACACAGATTTCAAAGCATGATGCTGAGACTGTGTCCCAGGCACGCAAGCATGGCTAGTTTGTGTGGGGCCTCTCAGCAGCCCAGCATCAGCTGTGAATGATCCTTAGTGCAACCAGAGGAGAATAACGTCTGATACAATTAAGCAGTTGGTATGGGAGTATCTCACAGAGATTGGAACCTGCCATTTTCTAGGCAGTAGTCCCAGCTAGGCAGAAAGATGACAGCTGAAGACAAAACTGCCATGAAACCCTTCAGCTGCCATTCCTTGGAGGCTACTGGGGCAGGAGGGACAAGGAGGCTCATTCACATGTCCTCACCATCCAAATGACATACTGTGACCCCTCCTCTGGACAGAGCCTCCTGGAACACTCAGCCAGTAGTCACTAGTACACGAAATAGCTGCAGATGTGCACACCATCAGAACTTGTTTCCTAGGCTAGAGTCTGAGACTGGCTGATGTTCATATGCAACAGAGTTGTCATGGTCAGGAAGGATGCAGTGGGTTAGTTAGAGAGGGAGGAGTTGGGTTGTCCCACTTGATCAAAAGTTCTGTGACTTATGCCACCTCCCCAGGCTACCCCTGACATATACTACCTACCAATGCTAGTCACCTGTGAGGGTGGTAATGAAATCATGACTGACAATGGACAGGGGGTGATTCAGGTCAAACATTATGAAATGTGCTACAAACATCTGACCCACAGCAGGCACCCAAAGAATTGATCTTGGTGAATTAAGAGTGTATCTGACAACAGTGGCCATTCTTTGCAAGTCTTGGTCAGCAGGCTCCCGAGCACTCAAGTGAGGCCCAGCAGCAGGGGGCTCTCTTCAGGTGACACTAGAGTGATAGCACAGACAGGTCCCAGTGACTGACTCAGTAATTCCTCTGAGGGTATACATGTACCTGTACCTGAATATACTATGGAGTTTAGATCCCTGTGGGAGAGGCAAATGTGTACAGATATAAAAGCTTTAGAGACTGATGATGTGCTGGGAGACTGTATGACTGAATAACTTGTGAGGTAGCAGGATCCTATTTTGTCTAGAGAGATTTCCAAGAAAGTCTTCTGGGTGGGGAATGATCTGTGCGATATACGGTGGCTTTGAAGGGGAGTGGAGGGATTAAATCTTCAGTGACTCAATCGAGGACCTCTTCCAGTCAGGACAGCACTGTGAGTTTACACTTTGATTCACTGCTACTGCTCCAAACACAGCAACAGGCAGAAGAGAACAGATGCCCCAAAGAGTAAGCCAAGTTCAAAAACAAGATTAAAAAGCCCAATACAGAACAGATACACAAAGCAGTAGGTGGAGCAGGAAGCCACAGGCCTGCTGGGCTGGGGCTGGTGTAGGCCAGGGCAGCCAGGACTTCCCAACCCTGCTTAACAGAAATAAACCCGCCCCACAGAGGCAGGACAGGAGCCAGGCTGGATACCTGTAGTGGAGGGCAACTGCTGAAACAAGAAAAGGACATTACAAATTCCCATAGACACCTCTGGGGCATGATTTTCTGTTAGTTTAACCTAGGCAGGTTGAAGCCTCCAGATCCAGCCCAGGGCAAAAGAACGTGGGACCCACTTTCCAGGCCTGTCTTGCTGCAGGGGTAAGCAGTTAGAGAAATGCCACTAGGGTGTCAAGTCACCAGGGTGCCAAGGCCATGCTGAGAGGCCAGCTAAACAAATCTCACAGGGCCACTCCAAGCCCAGACTCACACAATTGAGGAAACACTGAGAAAAGCATTGGCAAAAATCAGTGCACAAATTCACCTCAGATGAAACTAAAAACTGAAAAACCTATTAGGGGAGGCTTTATATAAGACAAAGACAAACACATGCAGATACACACATGTGCATACACACACATATATGCACATATATACATTCACATACATATACTCATATACACACATATATATATGTGTGTGCACACACACATACACACACACACACACACACACACACCACACATGCTGTTATGACAAACTGTAAGCAGAGGCCAACAAAGGGAAATGGGTGAAGTGTCTGTGGTACAGAGGCACCAGTCAGAGGCAGTAATAAGGGTGGAGTGTACAGCCTGAAAGAGGTGCTGCGACCTGCACAGGTATGTGAACTACCACAGAGGAACAGCATGGAAGGGAGGGCAGAGGAGAAGAGGAGGGCCCCAGCAGAAGGCAGGCAAGAAACCAGCAGTAGAAGTGAAGAAGTTGAAGACAGGGAGGTGAGGTAGGAAGCAAGATGTGGAGGTAAGGAGAATGACAAGGAACTGGAGGAAGGTTGGTTGGGGAAGAGTAAGCAGAAAACAACAAGGAAAATCATAGAAAGAAATAAATGAGCTGTCACAGGAAATATGTGGCAGGTAGCCTTGAAGAGGTCCAAACTATGCATCACTTCTACACTCAGGTCTTGTCTGGTGCCTGCCCTAGGTGTGGGCTGGACCTTGAGACTAGTACTTGTTGGGATAAGTCAGGAGTGCCTGGAATGTAGAGCATGGCCAGGCTGGAGACCTCCCAGTGAGGATGGCAGGAAACTGGCCTGCTCCATTCTAGACACACTATCTCTTACCCAACAGCCCCCAAGCAAAACTATTAGGTCTCTAATCCTTTAATGCTAACTGGTCTCTTGTAGATCATGTGACTGGAGGACAGGACAAAGGCCAGGTAGCCTTAGAAGCCCCCATAGCCTTAGAAGGCCCTGCCCTCCCCCTACCTGCCTGCCTGCCTGCCAGAAAACCAACCCCACCTCTTTGCCTGCAAAACTTTCATATACAAACCTCTTCTTCCACCATAGTAAACAAGCTGTCCACTGACAGTCTCCCAGGTGTTTGTTCCTGCCGTACTCACCACTGCCTGAGGCCCCTCTCCCCCATTATTCTCTCTCCTCGCTCTGACTTTCCATGATGGGGACTGGTGCACAATGGTCTCCGGATAGCAGCGGATTCCAGGTTGAGGAGAGGCTGAAAGCTGGCACCCAACATGGGGCTTGAGAAAGGCTCTCTGGGACACGTGGAAGGGTGAGTGCTCTCCAACAGAGGGACATCGGCTTCTAAGCCTTGGCCATCCCACTCTGAGGATCGGCATTTTCTCCTTTCCCCCTTTTTACTCTCAGCTTGCGCCGTCACGAGGGACTGTTCAAGACAAAAGAGCAACTGAAACTTTCTGATCAGGGCCACTCTCTGATGTTAGCTGAAGGCTCCTAGTTGTCAGAATGGATCCCAATTGCCTGTCCAGGTGTTGGCAAAGACCTTCTATCTATATGTC